GCAAACCTCAACCAGGCGTAACCTAAGTCGATAAAATGTAGATCTCAGCTTCCTTTTCGCCAAGTATTCGGAACGTTGAAATGAAATTTGCGGGCTTTTGGTTGATGGTATATTGTTTAACGTCCCTCTCGAGAATTTTTCTCTCAAATGGAGACGTCACCGTATGTCGATGAAGGGCTTCAAATTTTTACCTTTAGTCGGCACTCAGGGCCATTGAGCAATGAGAATCTTTATCGTGCCATCGCCTGTCTGCGACACGGGGCCATGGTTTTCTAGGTCTCATCCGAAGGACCCACAGCCTTGACCTCAAAGTGCCGAGTGCATAGCAAAGGAACAGTTACTACCATTTTTTTTATCGACTTAGGTCAGTCTCGGCCACGTTACGAACTCAAAACTTCCTAATCACGGAGTGAGCGCCAACCGACTGAGCTACCGTGAACGTTTTTTTTTCAACCCTCGAACCAAACTATCTGCCTAAGGTCGTTACAGTTTGGTTCTTGGGTCCGACAAAATGCATGCGGGCTTTTGGATGAGACCTTAATCGAGGTTGTTTGTTGAAAATGTCTTTCACACAAAAAGGTCCATTACTGCTTAATGTACCTTCTTGACAAGTAAAAGTCTAAATTTGAGCCCTTCAGAAATATATGTTGATAATTTTATATAAGTTAAATATTAAAGGGGGGATGTCATTAAATCAATAATTCTTTTATTTAAACAATCACTTGAGTTCATCATAATGAGAAGGTTGACTCAATTGTCCAAGTTCTAGATAACCTGCATTAACTTCCTCTTCGGCATACATAGCTGTGTTAGCATATCGTATTGAATTTTGTCGTCTGGTTTCCTGCTTTTCTTTGTTACAAAAATTTTGTCTGATATTCCTGCAAAATTAGAATACTTAATGAAAAAGAAAGTGTAAAATGCACAGAAAATAAGAAAAAAAAAATACTGAAAAAAATTAATGTAAATATTTTTTCACTTTCATCTTTTGTCATGCATATCTTTATAATAATAATAAAAGTTACCCCAAAATCAGAATAATATTGACAATAATACTTATACAGAGTGTTGCAATAACTCCATAGAGAGCTGTTGAACAGTTCTCTAACATCTCGTTGATTTCTTAAAATTAAAAAAAAAATCTTTTTTTTAATCTTTCATAGCAGGTTTTTAAAAAATTAAATGAAAAAATGATGATATTCATAAAAAATATAATGTTCAAATTTGTATCCATTTATTTGAAGTTGTTGATAAACTAGAAAAATAAAATAAAACTTTTCTTTACCAGAAAAAGGTTTGTCATCTGTAAGATTGCTTTGGAGTTCCCTCATACACGACCCGTTGTTTGAAAAACAGATTCTGTTTAAACAATTGGACTACATAGTTGATCACATTGTGGTCCGTAATGAGATTGGCTGCATCTTACATATAGATATCATGCAATGTTCAGTGTTATTCAAAATGAAAATAACAGAAATATGCATTTTTTAAATAATTCCTTTGTCAAAGAAATAACAACTATGTTTTACAGCTAGTATTTTTACTATTTAATTAAACATGCTGTAATTGCAATATTTACGGGAGTTACACAAAACCTTATAATTTGAAGCATGGAAAAAACATAATGCTCGACATTAGTGACACAAATATGCACCAAGTATTTAGAATTATAAGAGGTATTCTTTTAACACGTTAATTCACACTACTATTGTTTTTTACAATCAATAAAATTCAGTAACGTAAAAGAAAAAGCGTTGAAATTCAGTATCTCAAACATCAATATTTGGTAGTCCAAATAACATTCTTTAAATGATTTATATCAAAATCTCGATTCTTTGAATATATAATCCTATTCATGATTTATATTGGTACCATTCAGGTTTGATAGTTATAGACAAAAATACACAAAATTTTATTTCTGTCATCGAGGTTAGTTATCTAATTTAATTTCTCAATTGTCACTACTCTTCAGAGCAATGTTTTTTGAGAGAAAGATTTCTTGAGTTATTGTATTGTTATGGTTTTATCAGCAAAATTTTTACCCTGCCATCCTAATTTACAAGCGCAACTACCATCTTCTTGAAGACAACCGGATAAACACCCATCAGCACAGTTTTGGAGACAATCAACTCCAAATTTCCCGGTTATACATCCAAAATCGCATAATCTACTGAATTTACTGCATCCCATTTTACAATTATAGTTACAAATTTTATTGCAATAAATTCCATATTTTCCAACCGGACATTCGCCTTCATATCCCTCTGAGTTTCTATTAAAAGTTGACGGACATGATAAACTTCAACTCTTCACATTTATCTGAATAGAACCCATTTATACATCCATATGTGCAGGATCCAGTTACATCGTCACAAGTTCGTCTTTTACAATTAACACTACATAGCTTGGAGCAATCTGGTCCGTAGTGTCCGAATTCACATCCTGCAAAAAAAAAATCATGTAGTTCTTTGGTCGTCAAAGAATAAAAAACTTATTAACTTGAAAAATAAAAACCGTATAGTATTTTTCCTTCACATCTCTGGAAACAATTCAATTCATTTCACAACCCTAACAGATAATTTTTTCAGACACAGCTCTCTTTTCTAAACATGAAATTTAACAAATCTGCGATATGATTTACAATTCATAAAAACGACAAAGGAAGTATATTAGATGTCTTATTTTGATGTAATCTGATAACATTGTAAATTAACGAATGTTTTTCTAGTTAAGATGACAGAACTTTGTTATTTGGAAAAGTCAGAAATGCACAGGGTATCTTTCAATATATAAAAGGTGCATATTTTCCTCATTTTTTTTTATCTAGATATAAGCTAATCACTACATGGAAAAAATATAATTCCTTGTATAAAAACGCTTCGGCTTTATGTTGAAGAGAATAGTTAATGACGTTTAAATACAACTAAGCCCAAAATTACCATACTTACTGTCGCATTTTTCTCCTGACCAATTTGGTTTACACCCGCCAATACAAACTCCACTTTGAAGGCATTCAATTTTTGCACAATTTCTTGTCGACGAAACATGACGAATCACAGAATGAACCATAAAACCATCTGTAGCAGCCAATACTACAGTGTCCATTTATTTTTCTACATTCTTGATTAAGGCAAGTGTTACTACATTTCACGTCGCACTTTTCTCCATAAAATCCTTTATTGCACGTCCCACAATGCCCATTTGATTTGTCACATGTATCACAATTTGGTTTCAGTGTTGATTATATTTTAAATTTATCCTCTCCGATTTTAATGCAAATCTGTCAGTGTTCTGCGCATGCGCGAATCACGTGATATAGGTGTTCACGTGACCCCCTCCGTAGCGTTTTGTCACAAAAACTGAAAAATGTTTTTGAGTTTTATATTTCTCTTTATATAAGTTAGTTTTTATAACAAAAACAGTTTATTTGTCAGAAATGGTCTAATATTGGCAACAGAATGGGTAGATAAGAATATCCTTTCCATAAATAAGCGTGGTGACCATCAAAACCCAAATCTTCTGTCTCGGAAGAGACGTTTGTTCAAGTGGGATAGATAATGGGTCCCTTCTTCTTATCATATCCAATATGTTTTAAACCTAAGGTAAACGATATCTTAGATATTTAATAATTATTTTATTGTTAAAATATTCAACTATTTTGAAATTGTAAATTGGACGTCTTTGATAGGAAATTGCTTAATTAAAAACACACCTCCTTTAAAACTTGCTTACATTGGGCGACACAAGTTTAATTTTTAACCATCCGCTTTCCGTCACCAAAACGACCAATCCAATCATTGATTGAATTTATAGGAAGTCATATGACTTAATAAACTGTGTACAAATTATTTTACGTTACTTTCAAGGGATTTCTAAAATATACAATAAATTTTACAGTCTTTTTTTAAATGAGAACGACTGACACAGCCATTTTTCGTCACAAGTGACCTACAAAGTGACTTCATTTTCACATTGTGACGTCACAAACAAGGAGCAAAACTATATTCAACATATGCTATTTATAGATTTTGTGTATGGCTATGGGTGTACCAAATTGTTTTCTAATCTAAATTGTGGTTTTGTAGTTATAGATATAGTTCGCGAACTTTTTTATCACCCCTCGTATATGTTCTCTGTGCAATTCTATGATAAATCAATATGCATTCTTTTCAAAAACATGTTTCAAGTATTTATTTGATCAGATCATTTCAATGCCACTTCACAAGGGGTAATTTTGGTAGAAATCGGAAGATTAAACTTCACCTCTTTCCATATTTGAGTATATATAACATTTATCTGATACATTTATTACTTACATTTTCCGTAAATACTTGGCTAAAAATACTGTAGGTCCAATTGTGTTCTTAAAATTCATCTTCTATTTTTCATCTTTTAAGAGCTTTGATGCAGACAACGATGCTCTTAATCATACCGCTAAGAAATCATCTGTAAATCTGACAATAGAATAAAAGTATGGTCCTCAAAGCTTAAATGAATAATGATACGGATATTAAAAGAAATTCATTCAAGTCTGTCTTTATTTCAATTGTAAGTTACAAGTTTAAAAAACAGTGAAATAAAACTGATATATGCTCTACAAGTATATATATATTTCAAACGTGGTTGAAAATGCATTATAAAACCGAAAACCAAATGATTAACATGTACCACTATTAAAACAAGGATTACTATTGTAATGATTTTTAAAAAAAGAAAAATATATACTTTCGACATATTTTGAATAGTTGATAATCTCTCTCTCTCTCTCTCTCTCTCTCTCTCTCTCTCTCGTGTAAAATGGTTACTTGTTGCTCTTTTTCATAACTTGGTGAATGCAAACAGATGATGAATTGAAATGAACATTAGAAAATGATATTAAGTGTTAAATCACTTTAAATAATATACATTTACAATTGCAAATCATTATATACAAACCAAAAGCGCAAATAAAGCATTGTTCATTGTTGCATTTGTGAATCAGCATTACAAAAAAAAAAACAAAAACATTCTCATCTTCTCCCGTAAAAATGAAAATTCCATTACAAATTCAAAAGTTAAAATTTAAACAAACTTAGACGTAGATTCAATTTAGGTCACCCATCATGAAGACAACTTAGTGGAATATACGCTCTTTGATGATACGGTCGTGGGTTGAAACCTCAGCCACGCAAAACCTATCGATAAAATGTAGATCTTCATTTTCGCCAAGTACTCGGAAGGTTGAAATGAAATTTGCGGGCTTTTGGATGAGACTTCAAGGTTTTCTAATGGGGAGGAAAAATGTCAATAAATCAATCAATTTTTATTCAAACAATCACTTGAGTCCATCATAATGAGAAGGTTGACTCAATTGTCCAAGTTCTAGATAACCTGCATTAACTTCCACTTCGGCATACATAGCTGTGTTAGCATATCGTATTGAATTTTGTCGTCTGGTTTCCTGCTTTTCTTTGTGAGAAAAATTTTGCCTGATAGTCCTGCAAAATTAGAATAGTTAATGAAATCAAAAGTGTAAAATGCACAGAAGAAAAGAAAAAAAATACTGAAGAAAATTAATGTAAATATTTTCTCACTTTCATCTTTTGTCATGCATATCTTTATAATAATAATAAAAGTTACCTCAATATAAAAACAATATTGACAATAATACTTATACAGAGCGTTGCAATAACTCCATAGAGAGCTGTTGAACAGTTCTCTAACATCTCGTTGATTTCTTAAAATATAAAAAATAATCTTTGTTTTAATCTTTCATAGCACATAGTCTTCTAAAAAAAATTGTAAAAATAATGATGTTCATAAATAATATAATGTTCAAATTTGTATCCATTTATTTGAAGTGGATGATAAACTAGAAAAATAAAAGAGAGCTATTCTTTACCAGAAAAAGGTTTGTCATCTGTAAGATTGCTTTGGAGTTCCCTCATACACGACCCGTTGTTTGAAAAACAGATTTTGTTTAAACACATTGGACTACATAGCTGATCACATTGTGGTCCGTAATGAGTTAGGCTGCATTCTACATATAGATATAATGTTATGTTCAGTATTATTCAAATTGAAAATAAAAGATATATGCCTTTTTTTAAAATTATTCCTTTAATTTGTCAAAGCAATAACCATTATGTTGTGCAGCTAGTATTTTTACTATTTAAGTAGACATGCTGTAATTGCAATATTTACGGGAGTTACACAAAACCTTATAATTTGAAGCATGGAAAAAACATAATGCTCGACATTAGTGACACGAATATGCACCAATTATTAAGATTTATAAGGGGTATTCTCCTAACACGTTAATTCACATTACATTACCATCACATTTTTGACCCTGCCATCCTAATTTACAAGCGCAACTACCATCTTCTTGAAGACAACCGGATAAACACCCATCAGCACAGTTTTGGAGACAATCAACTCCAAATTTCCCGGTTATACATCCAAAATCGCATAATCCACTGAATTTACTGCATCCCATTTTACAATTATATTTACAAGTTTTATTGCAATATGTTCCATATTTTCCAACCGGACATTCGCCTTCATATTCCTCTGAGTTTCTATTAAAAGTTGACGGACATGATAAACTGCAACTCTTTTCACATTTATCTGAATAGAACCCATTTATACATCCATATGTACAGGATCCAGTTACATCGTCACAAGTTCGTCTTTTACAATTAACACTACATAGCTTGGAGCAATCTGGTCCGTAGTGTCCGAATTCACATCCTGCAAAAAAAAAATCATGTAGTTCTTTGGTCGTCAAAGAATAAAAAACTTATTAACTTGAAAAATAAAAACCGTATAGTATTTTTCCTTCACATCTCTGGAAACAATTCAATTCAATCACGACCCTAACAGATAATTTTTTTCAGACACAGCTCTCTTTTCTAAACATGAAATTTAACAAATCTGCGAAATGATTTACAATTCATAAAAACGACAAAGGAAGTATATTAGATGTCTTATTTTGATTTAATCTGATAACATTGTAAATTCACGAATGTTTTTCTAGTTAAGATGACAGAACTTTGTTATTTGGAAAAGTCAGAAATGCACAGGGTATCTTTCAATATATAAAAGGTGCATATTTTCCTCATTTTTTTTTTATCTAGATGTAACCTAATCACTACATGGAAAAAATATAATTCCTTGTATAAAAACGCTTCAGCTTTATGTTGAAGATAATAGTTAATGACGTTTAAATACAACTAAGCCCAAAATTACCATACTTACTGTCGCATTTTTCTCCTGACCAATTTGGTTTACATCCGCCAATACAAACTCCACTTTGAAGGCATTCAATTTTTGCACAATTCCTACTACATGGCGCTTCACAGGATGAACCATAAAACCCCCTGTAGCAGCCATTACTACAGTGTCCATTTATTTTTCTACATTCCTGATTAAAGCAAGTGTTACTGCATTTCATGTCGCACTTTTCTCCATAAAATCCTTTATTGCAGGTCCCACAATGTCCATTTGATTTGTCACATGTATCACTGCTGCAGTTTCCACAAGAGTTGTCACAGAAAATCCCATAATAACCCGGTACACATCCCATTCTACAGTACCCACTGTCTTGCGCACATGTTCGTTTATAGCATCTAATAAACAAATAACATTCTTTTTCGCATCTCTGTCCATAATACCCCTCTTTACAGGAGGAACACAGCCCGTTAGTTCGATTGCAGACTCTTCTGGAACAAGAAGATGGACATTCATTTAGACATTTATTTCCCCAGTATCCTTCGATACACCCACGGGTGCAAATTCCATTCCCATCGAATTCCATGTCTATACAGTTAGGACTGCATGGGACCACGGCTGAAAAAAACAAAGAATTTACTTTTAAACATTCTAAGTAGATTATTATGATAAGTACTGGCTTTTAAAGTTGACAGTTTACTTGGACATTTAAACTTGTATCATGTACGGAATTGCAGAATTAATAATACACCTTTCTAGTGGTCATATGTATTATGTTAGTGGCACTTTCATGTAAAGGACGGGAGGTGGACGTAGGGTGGTTTTTCGCTTTCTTTAAGGAGAACTCATATGTGCATTGATTAATTGATTGTTTACTGTTTAACGGCCCTCTCCAGAATATTTCACTGATATGGAGACGTCACCATTGTCGGTAAAGGGCAGGAAATTTAGGCCTTTGCTCGGAACTTACGGCCTTTGAGCAAGGAGGGGTCTTTATCGTGCCACGCCTGCTGAAACACGGGGCCTCGGTTTATACGGTCTCATCCGAAGGAGCGCCCCATTTATTGCCTTTTACGACAAACAAGGGGGTACAGAGGACCTACTCTTACCCGGATTCCATCAAGACTATATGAGCATTGAAATAAAGTGTTATTTTCGTTGAAACAAATGTTAAAAAATTATATCGTAAAAGCCATCGTAAATTGTTCTAGTGTGAAAGTAAGTCTCAACTGTATAAGTCAGTGCTCCACGCAAAAGTCCATTAGTAGCAGTGAATGACTGACACTACTTTGCAAAAAATAGTCACAAAAGCACTAATTGGGAAGGATAATCAGGAATAATGTTGCCTAAACCATATTTGTGTGTTATTGTGAAATGTAATTCATTTGAAATACTTTCTTCTTTTCTTTACCCCTCCCCCTATCTCGCGAAAAAAATTAAAAGCTGCAAGATAGATATCATAATTATTTGAAAGGAGTTAAAAAGGAATAACATAACGCAGCTAGGATAAGGCTGCCCGTAAAATATCAAACTGTTCAAACTGTAGTTACTTCTCTGAACTACATAGATATGACGTCATAATAGAATATGACGTCAAGTCACTGCATACTTGAACTGACATGACGGGGAAAGTGTCATAATTATTACAGGGCATGTAGATTTATTATCGGGATTTGTGTTTAATTTAATTGTAAGGGTTATTTTTTAATCTTGTGTGTGCTGTTATAATGTTTAACATTCGATATTTAAATGTGTCTATTCCTTTTGCTTGTTCGATATGCATATATTCAAGCAATAGCAAAAGATTATGTTTAAAACGCTCCCCTTACACTTCCGTAGACAGAGTTAGAATTTATGAATCGTGTATATATTGGACTGGCACAAGTGAAAGACAAGGATAAATAAAAGATATATTATGCGTGAATCTAACAGAGAAGTATTTCTTCTAACTGAATTTTGCTGGGGGATTGTGTGTAGTTTATCCGTTTTAGTATAAATCGCGATAAAGTATGGAAAATACCCCTTTTTACGTTGGTAATTTTAATTTATCATAAAATATTTTCTTAAGAAGTAAAAATGAAACATACCCCAGCACTTTTTATGTACCAGGGATAACGATGAATTGATCTATATAAAAACTTTGCACAATATTTTCGTTTTGCACTTGTGCTGAGATGATTTTTGTGCAACATTTAAGAATATCAAAAATATCCGTTACTTGATTAACACAGTCATCTGACATCACAGAAATGCTTTCTTATAATACCTGATTAAACAGTTATCTCAAGTTGACTGCAATTTCAAACCAGGATCACATATTTAAATCAAGCAAAAATAAAATGTATATTTTGAAAACATTTTAAGCCTTCGGACAGCCTTATCGCGAAGGTTAAACATATTTCATACGTTTCGACGGCGTCTTTAAAAGAATGCAAAAAATGAAGAATTTACTTGTCGGAATATGTTTTCATGTACTAAATCATAGAATAGATGAGAATATTATTCTTCAGAATAATAAAAAATGTGTAATTAAAATCAAAACTTATATGATTGTTTTTATCATAAAGAGTATGTAGTATTATTTTTAGTCAATATGTGCGGACGTAAATAAAAAAAGCAATTACATTTAAACAGAAATATGTAACAAAACAAAGCAACACTGATGAGCGCAAAACAGTAATTTACAATGCAACCAGAAAGTACAATTCTCATTTTTTATATATTGTTTCTTAAATGTACAAGAGCAAATGATATACAAATTATTTTATTGATATTCTCGATCTACAGAAAAACTTTGTTTAATTCTTTTGTTATAATTTAGTCATTGGAGAAAAGCATTTTTTCCTGTCAGATATTATAAATGTTCACTAAATTATGTATGCAATTGTTCCTCTCTTTTATCAGTCGTTACCTTTAGACATGTAAATTATTAACGTGAATGTCATTGAAAAAAAATAGTAAAAGACAAATACTTATTAGAGAAAAGATATAAAATTGTCTAGATATTTACCATCACAGTGAAAATTTCTGAGTAATAGAAAAATCCACATCCTCCAAAGGACATCCATTTTGAAAGCAAAAGTAAAATAGAAATTTGAATTAATTAGCAAGTATGGACACAAGTCAGAAATTTATTTTGTTTCAAATCCTTTCAAAACCTTCTTTCTAATATAAAGCACTTAGATTTATAAAAATCTACAACATCTAAAGCATATATCAAGATAACATTACAGGAAAACACACACTTAAACGTGTCAAGTATAATTTGTTGAGCACATGTCTTGCTGTAAGACTGATCACAAATCCTGAACTTGTTTTTGTTGTAATTTACATGTGTTCATGCCTTGTAAATCTTATAGGCAAGCTCACTGCAAGAGAACAATTGCTGTTAATCAGTGATATCTTAAGAATCGATCCTTGTACTGATAACATTTTAAAATACAATAAACTGGAATAAAAATTATTCTAAATAAGATAAAAAAAGCGACGTCAGCTATTCAAATAGAACGGCATTCATTCATAAAATTATGGTCTAATATTCTTGAAAGAATCACAGGAACACATCAATTATCCAAACGTCTGCAAACTCTTATTAATTTTTTCATTGATTTAAAATTGGTCTAAAGATTTGTGTTCAATTCATAGGACTTTACTAGTATTGGAAAGTCACTTTTATTAGAAAAATGCAGTGTATCCCAACTCATGGTCTTATAAATCTAGTTTAACGTCGGACTGGAAAAAAAAACTACCTGTGTATACAAAAATATACTGTAGATTCCTTATTTGTAGTTTTCATGTTATTCATATAGATACGACAACATATACAGGTAAAAAACGAATTTTGACCATTATTCGGTATTCGGGGCCATTGAGCAGTGAAATATCCAACGCAAACCCTGACACTTGCATGGGCCTCGACGTTTTAAGTCTCGCCCGAAGGACACGCAACTTTCAGTTTAAAGTACGCGTAATGTAGTTACAGCAAATACTTACTTTTTTCTCGATTTAGGTAGAAATTTGAACTCACGGCCTTCCGACCGCGTAGCAAGCGCTCTCTTGATTGAGCTGCCGTCACGTCTATTTTTTTATGTGTGCATGTTACAATGTAATGCTGAAAAAGATCTAAAGCAGCTTGTGAAAATAATTATCAAAACTGATAATAACATAGTATGGACTTTTCAAATACACTTAGCAGATTTAATGTGCAGTACAGTTTCAGAAATATTAAAAAAATATTTGCTTGAAATGAAAAGTTATGCATAATATTATTTTCAATGAAGAGAAAAAAAAAATAAATACATTCCATCTTCGAAAAGATGCGTTTGGAATATACATCCTTTGCTGTTTAGATTTAATGATACTTTTCTTTAAAAAAAAAACTATGTGACTGCAGGTGTATTATTTTATTCTTTTTTTTCAATTCTGAATTATTAATTGTTCCCGCTTGAAAATAGGGGGATATTTATTTGGGTCTGTCCTAACGTCCGTCTGGCTGTTTGTCCGTACCTACGTCTTTCTGTCTGTCTGTAACGCTTCCGTTTCCACACGATATCTCGAGAACGAGTTGATCTTTCGCAATGAAATTTTGCATAGCAACTCCCTACGTATTGATTTTGAGGTCAAAAGGTTGAAGCTCAAGGTAATAAATTTGCAAATTCTGTCTGTTATTACACTTTTGCTTTTGTGCAATATCCCGAGAACCCTTTGATCTTTCTCAATGAAATTTTACATAAAAACTTCCTGTAGTCGAAGAAAGCTCATAATAGAATTTGAGGTCAAAAGGTCAAAGTTCAAGTCGTAAATATATTCATTATGTTTGTGTGTATATTTGAAGATTTTGAGCTTTTACAATGAATTTTAAGCCAAAACTTCCTAGGGCCTCTCTCACCCCTCTCAAATTATCCTGTCCAGTTTATTAATTAGTATTAAATGTCGCTTGGCACTATTTTTAGCACAAGGGCATGTGGAGAATTATTACGTATTATACCGATTAACGGCGGACTTTTCATTCTAATTACATCTTTTAGTCTAGAACTGTTTGATAAAGGCTTAATTAGACGACACTATGCATCACATTGTGTAAAATTTTGACAATAGCAAATGTAAATATATACATGTATTTGACCCAATTTTTGCAAATAATTTCCGAAAGTATTAAGGCCGGTATACACGGTAAGATTTGTATTGTAAGATTTTAATAATACAAAATCTTAGTGTGTATACACTCTTAATACAGTGTATCATAAGATTTTTCGAATCTTATAAAACTGTATTTAGAATGGAGCAATGCTCTATTTTCTAATACAAGTCTTAGCTTACCTATCACTTTCAACCAATGAAATGTAATGACACTAGGGGTCATCAAATTTTTTCACTACTTAGAAAAGCACAAGGTAAGTAATACTGATAGACATTACAAGTAAAGACATAGAAAAAACTCGTGGCTTAATGGGAAGGGGAAAAGGACTTGTGGAATATATAAATCAGTGCATAGTATGATGATAGACACTGCTATCAAAGCCTCATCCTTCATTTTTATTACCTTGACAGAGAGAGAAATATGGCGGGTAAAACACGTTGGTATACGTAGTTTATTTAGAATCTTATAAGATATGTATTAGCATGAGTACAGGAAAGTATTATTATACAAAAGTATTATAATACTTGCATTATACTATACAAATCTCATCGTGTATACCGGCCATAAAGCAGCTCCGTGGTGTAGGGTTATGTCTCTGGCTTGACATTCAAGAGGCCCCAGGTTCGAATCCCCAGTGATCCAATCTATTTAGTTTTTTGAATACATTTTTTTCACTAAATGATAGTATTCAGCATCATGTGATGTGAAACAGATATGACGTCTGGCGTGTACAAACTCATAAAATCATCATAACAGTGTGATAAATATTCTTTATAAAGAGAATCTACTATACACATAATAAAGATAATAAACAATCAAATTTTTATATCCATATTGGCATTTTTTGCTTCAATATACATATATACATTAAATAAATAAATTCTTCATTCAGTAAAGGGGAATTCGAACCCCACCCACCCACCCCCATCCTCCTGAACTGCGCATGGTTTTCATTTTTTTTCTTAAGCGGGGAACACAAATTCTCAGAATTAGCTTGTTCCATTTCGATTTACAATGAAATTGCGTGTTTATGGTTGACGGGCACTTCTTCTCCGATTGATTAGAAAAAATATGTATCTGCAAGTCGTCATAAAGGTGAGGATTCTCGGGAAATAATCTGGAAGTTTCTATACTCATTAAGTATTTCTCAATGCAGTTTGGCAACATATAGCAATTTCTATGGTTTCTGATTTTTTTAATATATCTGATTGATTAAAGGGCCTTTTAATGCAGAGTATTGAATAAAACTAAATAGCTATTAAGAAACCATCTAGATGAATGTTTTATTTTCCCTCTTCTTTAACCAGATCATACCTGTGCAACTTCTTAAGGAGTTTATTTGTTGAACCCGGAAGATGAAATTTTTTTTAAAATATTTTTTTGTTCAATTTTTGAGTACATGAAACGTTTTATCTGATAAACTTCGCGAAGTTACTCCAATATCAGTAAACACATTTGTTGAACCCGGAATATATATTTTTTTTTAATTATGTTTAAGTTTTGCGAGTATAAAACATTTTATGTGATAAACTTTCAGAAAGTTCTCCATTATCAGCATATACATACAGATAAAAAACACATTTCCCCATAGGCCTAACTGAAATACCTTTACAAATATAGGTGCCTCTTGCACAAGAGCAAATTTAAGCAACTCATCAGTACAGCTAGATCACGGTGGCTTAAGTTCTACATTTAAATCGTATCCTTATGATGAAAAAGTTTTTAAAAAAAAACTATTTATATTTACAATATATATGAGCAACTACTGTATACATGTATAAATGTGTATGAAAAAGAACATTACTATTTATTCACCAAGATTTATTTGTACAGTTTTAACATGACACCATAATCGATTTCCCGAAGCTCTGTATAGGCAGATGGAAGTATTGAAGTCTTTAATATAGATGCGTTGACAATGTAAACTACTTATTTCAATGGCAAGAGTAGCAAATTTTTCATAGAAACAATGCAAAGCGTGTATTTTTGTAAATTTATGATACATCTTTGAAAGTGATTGTCCGTGTAGTGCTTTTAATGCAGTTCAAAGTCAAAAACTCATACTTTAATAAGTTAATAAGTCATCATTTTAAATATCACCAAGGGTTTTTTAACCTCTGAAAAATAAAGAAGGATAAACCATCTTTCCGGATCTCAATATTTAGAAATTTTTAATACATATGATATTTTCTCTCACGGATGAATCGTAATTTTATTTCTTGAATGGGTTAATTACCAACGTTAATATTTTTGATTAGATACGTTCATAACGTCCAAAGAAATTCAAACAATAGTTCTGGAATGTTGCAATGCAATTTCCATTCATAATATGCATGTATTCAAAAAACTTCAAAAAAGCGTTTACTTTAAACGTCTCAATGCACTCTTAACTAGACTTGTAGATTTTTCTTAATCAATGCTTTTAAGATAAAAATAATTTTATTATTTACAGAAAGGCTTATTGAGTAAAATGAATTTATATATATTCTTCAGAAAAAAGAAAACAAACACATAGTAAAATTTTCGTGACACATTGAACATCAAGATTATTTAGTAAAATTATGTACTGATAATACATACATGTGGTTAACAATAGGAATACTATCTAAATTACATAATTTCTTAAGAATTTCAAAATTATAGACTGTTTAAGGTCATTAAAGAATCAATACGCGGTATGTCCCCTACAGACACGAATGATAGCCAAAACGTCATCTTATGGAAGCAAATGTGTAATAAAAAATATTGGAATACTCTCTCACACCGAATGTAGAATTTTTGTCAGCTGTTTCAAAGTCTGAGAATGCGATTGTCTTCGACAAATCTTGTCAATTCATTTTGTCTAATGCTTTTCAATTGAGTTCAAATCTGACGATTAAGATGACTATGGAAGAAACAGGTTGCTTTTGCAAGAAAAAGGGAGTGTTAAACGAGCCCTATGTGGATGTGTTTTGTCAGATTGAAATAGGGCTCTAGGATGCTTCAAGAATAGGCGCGTCTAGGTAGAACATCGTTAGAGTACTTTTTTCCCATAAAAGTCCTTGCAATACGATTAGTCTAACCATAATGTAATACCAATTCTATATCATTACACTATCAACACCAACTTTTTAGCTCACCTGAGCCAAAGGCTCAAGTGAGCTTTTCTGATCAAAATTTGTCCGTTGTCTGTCGTTGTCGTCGTTGTCGTCGTTGTCGTCGTTGGCATAAACTTTTCACATTTTCATCTTCTTCTCAAGAACCACTTGGCCAATTTCAACCAAACTTGCTACAAAGTATCCTTGGGTAAAGGGAATTCAAGTTTTTTCAAATGAAGGACCACGCCCTTTTCTAAGGGGAGATAATTATGAATTAGAGAAAAAAATAATGGCATTTTTTAAAAAATCTTCTTCTCAAGAAACACTGGGCCAGGAAAGATGAAACTCATATGGAATCATCCTCACGTAGTGTAGATTCAAGTTTGTTCAAATCATGACCCCTGGAGGTAGAGTGGGGCCAAAATGGCCGATCAAAGTTTTACATAGGAATATATGGGAAAAATCTTAAAAAATCTTCTTCTCAAGAACCACTGGGCCAGGAAAGATGATCCTCATATGGAATCATCCTCAGGTAGTGTAGATTCAAATTTGTACAAATCATGACTCCTGGGGGTAGGCTGGGGCCAAAATGGCCAATCAAAGTTTTACATAGGAATATATAGGAAAAATCTTTTAAAAACTTCAAAAAAGCGTTTACTTTAAACGTCTCAATGCACTCTTAACTAGACTTGTAGATTTTTCTTAATCAATGCTTTTAAGATAAAAATAATTTTATTATTTACAGAAAGGCTTATTGAGTAAAATGAATTTATATATATTCTTCAGGAAAAAAGAAAACAAACACATAGTAAAATTTTCGTGACACATTGAACATCAAGATTATTTAGTAAAATTATGTACTGATAATACATACATGTGGTTAACAATAGGAATACTATAATTTATAAGAAGAGACAAACTCTGTAATTACGCGATAAATAGTACCTCTAATCATTTTGTTCACTGTTTTAATTCTAAAGATGTAGGATGTGAAAAAAATATCTTTACGTTCAATAGGGTAAATAATGGTCATAAGTAAGATATAAGTAAAGGTATAAATTAACAAGGCTAAATAAACATAACAATGTAACAATTTTCATGAGTATTATTTAAATCTACTTTCTAATTATTCCATACTTTTTATGTATATTCTTTTATCACTTTAAATTACTCTCTCTCTCTCTCTCTCTCTCTCTCTTAAAATACCAACTGAAATTATGACAAAAATGATAGTGTTCCATAAAATAAAAAAAATAAGATAAGACACTACACTATATATATATATATATATATATATATATATATATATATATATATATATATATATATATATATATATATATTCAAAAAATTATTTTTCCTTGGTATAGGGATAAAATAAAATCCAAATTCAAATGATAAACTCAAACTTTTATCTAAAGCACTTTCGCCCCATGCGGGCTCATCAGTAGATTTAAGGAATGTTTTTAAGTTTTGTGTAGTTATTGGTGTGTATCACACAGACTTATATATATTTCATATCGCGCTATATGAAAAATATATATATATGTGTATTCACACACCAATAATTCACACTAAACAGAAAAAACATTCCTTATATTTTCATTTTACATGTTCGGAAGCAATTAAAATATACTCAATATTTGAATTTCTCGCTGCCCTATATCGCTGCATTTTTACTAACGTCGCTGCAGCCTCATTGTGACGTCACGTTAACGCACGTTTCTCCGTGTATATTTCTATGCGTGAATACATGTATACACAAAAATGACTTTCAAATCAATTTCTCAGTTGGCTTAGTAGAAAAACACAGCGAATGTAAGTATTTGAAATTGTAAACAAACAAACAGTAGGACGTCATTCTCGTGACGTTATGTAGGCAACGTTAAACATAATGGTTGTGACGTAATAATAATCACAGTTAAATGAAGAGCACAGATGAAGTTTTACAGTTCATCTGATCAAAGTAAAGCGCCTTTTATAAATGTACAATAATGGAGACATTTTATATAAAATGTACATAATAAAATAATTTGATATAAATTCCTTTTAACAGTTCAATTTTGGTTTAAACAGATTAATAAAATATTGTTCTTTGGCTTTCCGTAATTGTTCATTTTCCTCTTTTATTTTATAAAAAGGAAATATATAAAAATGTCCTTTACTACAAGAATCAAAGTGTTCACTACATGGCGTGTTTCGTATGGTCTGATCCTTAATCCTTAAGGTTAACATACTTATGCTTTCATATATACATTTCCAATGTCTTTTTTCCGAAATAAAATTACAAATTGTTAATGTACTTTATTTCCCCATCAATGTATTAGCGCGGTTCCAAAAAAAACACGTGCAGGTCGGAACAAACAGCTAGACATAAGAGGGGCTTTGAGCACGTGGATTGGAGAAATCAAAGCATGTAAATATAAGGAATAACTGTGAGATTTTTCAATTTCATGACGATGATCAATCGATTGGCTTGCGTGATAATTTTATGCATAAGCCCCTTTCGGCGTTTATGTAAATTATAAGTTATCACGCAACCCAATCGATTGATCACATCATGAAATCGAAAAAAAATAAGACAGTTATTCCTTAAATACATTTGAGTTCCTCATAAAGAGGAGGTCCACTTGATTGTCGACGTTCTTCATAGTTGGTGTTATCTTCTGTTCTCTCATGTATAGTGGAGCTTGCATCTATTGTTGAATTGGCGTGATTATGATCCCTGTTTAAGTCTGGTGTATTATATCTTCTTTGTCTGATATTTCTGTAAAATTTAATGACGAGAGTTGTCACAAAATGTCGTGGACAGGGAAAACAGTTTAATTTCTCTTTGCTCAACTAAATTTCTGTTCTTATCATGGCAGAAAGTAACATATATGATTATTTATTTCTAGTTTCATGACGATAACACATTTGATAAGAAAACTATGAAAAACAAAGAAACCATGTAAGTGTACATCGGCGCAAGAAAATGATCTCTCTCTCTCTCTCTCTCGCCTTTTTTATTTGTTTTACATCCGTGTTTCGATAACACCCAAATGAATAATTTTTTAAAGTGAAAAACCACTCTAGACTAAGGGACTTATTTAGATTCACTGCTGTCACTTTTTAAAGCAGATTCAAATTTTAGTCAAAATTTAGACACACATGCTTCTCACATGCAGGAACTACCGATATTTTTTTTAATATAAAGGGAAAAAAAAAACATTATTGAATCTCATGTCATTTAAAAACAACTTTTCTATTAAAATCAAGTGTGTAATGTCCTTTTTGTACTCTTAAATACCAAAACAATTTATTACAAAATTTGGTTAGTAATTGTTGCGTGTTAAAAAAGTTATAAATATTGTCTACGACTTTTTCGTACAACTCTCACATAAGACATAGTATGATAAGATTGTGTTTTTTTTTTAAAATAAAAATGATGCAATTATCTGTTTATCCCATTTACGATTAAGTTTATTTTTATACTTACATCAATAGATACAAACCTCACAATCAAAAATATATTGAGAATAACGCTCATGATTAGAACAGTAATTACACCGTACAAAACTGGATAAACTTCTGTGTTTGTAATGCTTGCAGACGCCTGGTTGATTGCTTCAATTCAAAAAAGTTTTTATTGCTAAATCATTACATAGAGCAATCTTTATTTTATTAAAAAATATAGAAATTAATACATGTATACATTTATGTTCTTTTGGAAATAAACTTGGTTGGTACCGAGATCAAACCCGTTTTTGTATAAATTAGTGTACTCAAGATACTCAATTAGTATTTTATATCCTTTTTAAAGTTTTTTTACTTCATGTTTAAAACTTTAAACGTATTGTTTTGATATCATTATTTATTTTTCAAAAAGTTCCAGAAAATATATATGAGTATATTTCACTTTAGGCTGAGAGGTTGTGAAATTTATAAATATTTAAATATTTAAATCAAATTGATCATAAATGATATATTATTAAAATAAGACTGATACTATACAAAAATATTACCTGGACTAGTTTTGTCATTATTAACATTGCTATCGAAGACATCTTTACACGACCCATTGTTTGAGAAACACGTTCCATTTAAACAAGTTGGACTACATTGCTTTTCACATTCTTGTCCATGACGTGTTTGACTACATTCTGTGTTAAAGAAAACGATGCAAATTAGTCGGTCATTAAGAGATTTGGCTGGAGTTTCATTGTCAAAGAACAACTTTCCTAAAAGCTCATTTAATTTTATTTAGAAATGTTTTGAAGATGTTTAAGTTTTCATATCAAGATTTACCGTTACAGTTTTGACTTTGCCAGCCTTCTTTGCAAAAACAATTCCCATCGAGTTGGTTACACCCAGAAATACACCAACCACCACAAGTCTGGAGACAGTCGGCTCCAAATTTCCCGTCAATGCATCCAGAAGTACATAAACCATCGGTTTTACGGCATCCATTTTTGCAGGTTCGATTGCAGGTGAAATTGCAATGATGACCATACATACCATTTGGACAGGGACCCTCGCATTGCCCGGATTTCCTGTTGCAAGCCGATGGACACGACGCACTACATCTCTTCTCACATTTTTCTGAATAAAATCCATTCTTACATCCATAGGTGCAGGATCCAGTAGCATTGTCACACGTTTGTCTTTTACAATTTACACCACACACCTGGGTACAATCAAGCCCGTAATGATGTGAATCACATTCTGTGAATGATAATGATTCGTACTTTATCTTGATTTTTTATCTTTGCTTTTAAAGAACTTTATTCGGTTATAACCAATATTTGCCCCCCCCCCCCCAAATCAAACTTTGATGGAGATATATTTAATTAAGTTCTTAAACAGGGGAGTATATGCTGACTTCAAAGCACTAAATATTTTCACAAGAAATGACGTCATATGTACGTAATGACGTCACAAACATGACGTAAATTTAATTCTTTAAATGAATTGTACATAAAAATGTACATACTTCATCGATATTTTGGGTAAAAGTCACCAAGCACATGTGTGTTCAGGATCAATATTTTGATATAATGTGTAGAATGATAATATCATTGAAATATGTCAATATTGTTCCTGAACAAACTTGCGCTCTATAAATTTTAAAGCTAAGACTGTTGAAATTTGGTCCATTTAAACAGGTTGGACTACATTGCTTGTCACATTCTTGTCCATTATGTGTTTGACTACATTCTGTGTTAAAGAAAACGATGCAAATTAGTCGGTCATTAAGAGATTTGGCTGGAGTTTCATTGTCAAAGAACAACTTTCCTAAAAGCACACTTAATCTTATTTAGAAATGTTTTGAAGATGTTTAAGTTTTTATCTCAAAATTTACCGTTACAGTTTTGACCTTGCCAGCCTTCTCTGCAAAGACAATTCCCATCGTCTTGGTTACACCCAGAAATACACCCACCACCACAAGTCTGGAGACAGTCGGCTCCAAATTTCCCGTCAATGCATCCAGAAGTACATAAACCATCGATTTTACTGCATCCATTTTTGCAGTTTCGATTGCAGGTGAAATTGCAATGATGACCATACATACCATTTGGACAGGGACCCTCGCATTGCCCGGATTGCCTGTTGCAAGACGATGGACACGACGCACTACATCTCTTCTCACACTTTTCTAAATAAAATCCGCTATTACATCCAAAGGTGCAGGATCCAGTAACATTGTCACACGTTTGTCCTTTACAATTTACACCACTCCTGCGTACAATTAGGCCCGTAATGATCTGAATCACATTCTGTGAATGATAATGATTCGTACTTCATTTTGACTTTTTATCTGTGCTTTCAAAGAACTTTGTTCGGTTATAACCAATATTTGCCCCCCCCCCCCCAAATCAAACTTTGATGGAGATATATTCAATTAAGTTCTTAAACAGGGGAGTATATGCTGACTTCAAAGCACTTAATATTTTCACAAGTAATGACGTCATTTGTACGTAATGACGTCACAAACATGACGTAAATTTAATTTTTTTATGAATTTTACATAAAAAATTTACATATTTCATCGATGTTTTGGGTAAAAGTCACCGAGCACATGTGTGTTCAGGATCAATATTTTGATATAATGTGTAGAATGATAACATCATTGAAATATGTCAATATTGTTCCCGAACAAATTTGCACTCTATAAATTTTAAAGCTAAAACTGTTGAAATTTGGTCCATTTAAACAGGTTGGACTACATTGCTTGTCACATTCTTGTCCATTATGTGTTTGACTACATTCTGTGTTAAAGAAAACTATGCAAATTAGTCTTTGTCATTAAGAGATTTTCTGTTACTTATATTGTCAAAAGAACAACTTTCCTAAAAGCACATTTAATTTTATTTAGAAATGTTTTGAAGATGTTTAAGTTTTCATATCAAATTTACCGTTACAGTTTTGACCTTTGCCTTCTTTGCAAAAACAAAATATCATAAATTTTAAAGCTAAAACTGTTAATTTTTTTTTTCCATTTTCTCCTCTTTCTAATTTACACCACACACCTGGGTACAATCAAGCCCGTAATGATGTGAATCACATTCTGTGAATGATAAACGTACCTAACATTTTTTATTTCAGAACTTTATTTCATTATAACCAATAGTGATATAACTTTGATGGAGATATATTTAATTAAGTTTAAAACATTGAGTATATGATACTTCAAAGCACTAAATATTTTCACAAGAAAGACTTCGTATATGTATGACGTCACAAACATGACGTAAATTTAATTCTTAAAATGAATTGTACATAAAAATGTACCATTCATCGATATTTTGGGTAAACCCACCAAGCACATGTGTGTTCAGGAGCATATTTTGATATAATGTGTAGAATGATAATATCATTGAAATATGTCAATATTGTTCCTGAACAAACTTGCGCTCTATAAATTTTAAAGCTAAGACTGTTGAAATTTGGTCCATTTAAACAGGTTGGACTACATTGCTTGTCACATTCTTGTCCATTATGTGTTTGACTACATTCTGTGTTAAAGAAAACTATGCAAATTAGTCGGTCATTAAGAGATTTGGCTGGACTTTCATTGTCAAAAGAACAACTTTCCTAAAAGCTCATTTAATTTTATTTAGAAATGTTTTGAAGATGTTTAAGTTTTCATATCAAGATTTACCGTTACAGTTTTGACCTTGCCAGCCTTCTTTGCAAAAACAAATTTGCGCTCTATAAATTTTAAAGCTAAAACTGTTAAATTTTTTTTTCCATTTTCTCCTCTTTCTAAAAAATGATATGAAATCGGACTAGTTTGTGACGTCATAAAAACAAAAATTGTGAATGGACTGCTTTGAAACTATAATGTTTTCTGTTAATTTATATTTCTCGTACAATTCATTGAATTCAGCTCATTTCAGGAAGTTTTTAAAATTTGACTTTTTTTTGGGGGGGGGTATATTCAATATACCGCATATAGTTGTTTGTTAATTTGAAAAAGTAACAATATCAAAATATTTTACTAGAAATCAAATTAATCCATACAACATTATAAAACATAAATACGCATTGGAAATATATAAATTTAAGAAAACGCCTAACAATTTATTTCAAATTATTTCATTAGTAATTGATATAATGAATGCAACATGATTTAATGTTAAAAGCATTGGAATGACATAACCCAGTTCTTTTAACAAAGACTTCGTATTGTATTCTCAACAAGACAATCGATATTTAACCCTAAAACTATTTTGTCTTTACCATTACAGTTTTGACCCAGCCATCCTGTTTTACAAGAGCAATTTCCGTCAGCTTGGTCACATCTGGAACTACACCCACCGCCACAAGTCTGTAGACAGTCAATTCCAAATTTCCCGTCAATGCATCCAGAATTACATAAACCATCGATCTTACTGCATCCATTTTCGCAGTTTCGACTGCAGGTGATATTACAATGATTACCATACATACCATTTGGACAGGGACCCTCACATTCCCCGGATTGTCTGTTGCAGGCTGACAGACATGTACTGCATCTCTTCTCACATTTCTCTGAATAAAACCCGCTATTACATCCATAGGTACAGGATCCCTTGGCATTATCACATGTCTGCCTTTTACAGTTAACACTGCATTCCATGGAGCAGTCAGATCCGTAATGATTGGAATCGCATCCTGTAACAGGTAAAATGTGTACGTCGTTTTGCATTCAACTTAGATTTTATGTCAAATTACCATCGTTATGTAAATTTATTCTTTGTTAATACTGGAATAAGAATTTTAAAGCCTTTACAAATCAGAAAAAAAAATAAAAAAAAAAAATTATATATATCTTTAAAAAAGTATAAGTTAATGACAATTAAGATTAAGACAAATCTCCAAGATCAAAATGATCTAACTACTTTTTAAAAAAAATGTAAACGAGCAATACCTTGTTTTGCAGATAGAGAAATTATTCAGAATATTATGATTTTGTCCTTGACTTAAAAGAAAAAGACAAAATGTATCTTATATCAAACCTTAGATTGCTTACAATTAAAATTTACAATGCCTTTTTAAAATTTTTAAAAAAAAAAAGTTCTCTGTATGAAATTTTTGTAAAAATAACATCCACAACCTACCCCTCCCCAACAGATGATGACCCTATATTAGTGAAAACTTACATTAAGTTAAACATGAGACAAAATCACAATGTCAACAGGGCCTCAATTAGGCTGTTTGTTTGCTAATTTGATTTAAGTCCCTTTATTTTTTCTCTCTTGTTCAGACACCACCGGTTGACGGTAAAAGGCTGAAAAGTGGGACTTTTATTCAGCAGTTTTGGCCACTGACCTTGAGGTTTGTCTTTTCTATCAGGAACACGTGACCTCTATTCTAATAGCTAATAATAACATCCAAAAGACCGGTTTCCACGTCCTTTACATGGATTTATTAAAATTCACGAAAGAAAGAATGTAAAGTTTTATTTTGCTTAGATTGTGACTGTTTGAGTAAGCATAACTAAAACAATTATTTAAGCAGGTAAATATATCAAGATTATTATTATTATTATTATTATTATTATCATTTTGCATCTGTTTGTAGGAATATCATTAATTAAAATATTTCTCAGTTCATGAATCTTCATACGGTGTACATTGACATAATTAATGTGGTACATTGTTTCATCTCCGTCCATCAGCAAGAAGGTTAAATATTTTTATGTGCTCTTAAATACTGAAACTAATGAACAATTCGGTTCATGTGAATTTATATACATAAATACACAAAAATGGAATGATAATTTATTGCTTATCGCTGAATATTTCATATTCCAGTTCATAGGAGAAAAAATTCTTAGAACCATCCACATTTCTCAACTTGTGACATGATATTAAATCTTTTTAAAAGAAAACATTTGTTTGTATCATCTGTCCTTAAAATGTATTTTTGAATGACTCGAGTAAAATAATTATAAACTTAAAATAAACTTAAAATATTCAGAAAAAAAGTATAAATTACGTTCTTACCAAAAATCTGAATTTCACATATTTCAAGCACAGCGCCTCTTTCTGAAAATTGATCATCTTCAGGAGCGTCATAGTTTGTTATAATCCTGATGTATCTAGCTGTTCTTGCACATGTAATATTCTGTATGCTTGAAGGTATACGGGAATCTGGAGTGTTATCTTTGTAGCATTCATTCCATGATAGTGTATCAGATGATACTTGTAAGCTGTATTGCCTGAATCGGTAAGGTCGCCATGTATAATCTGTAAGAGATGGGTTTTTTAAAATTTCTTCACATCATTCTCATTTGAACCTTTACAGCAAATTAATTTGTGATCAAGAGAAACAAATGAGGTAACATAGATTTACATAATAATAATTGATAGACAGTCATCATGCTATTTTTTTTTTATTCTGTTACATGCAAAGTTTATTGCAAGATTTTCCCATTACTTTTCCAGTGTCCTTGGTGCAGTCTTGGTCTATTCTTGGCCTTCGAGCTAAACCTTTATATATATCAACGATGTTTTATCAATGAACTGTTGTCACTATCATATTCAAACACACCCAATCATTAAGTCGAATGTTGACTTTTTTTTTTACAAATGGCCCCCGTAAAACAAAATTTCCATTTGCACTGTCATAGTGGGAATATTTTTGTTGTGTCTGTCTGTATGTCTCTCTGTCTGTCTGTCTGTCTGTCTGTCTGTCTGTCTCTCTGTTTGTCTGTTTCTGCAAAAACTTTAACCTTGCCCATAACTTTTTATTTTAGAAACAGCTATGTACTTGAATATATTTCATATGTGTATTCATTGTGACAAGACCTTTCTTTGGGTACCACCAAATTTGACCTTTCGACCTAGACCTTGGAGTTTGACCCACTTTTACATGAAAATTTAAAAAATTTACTTTGGCCATATCCTTTGAACAGTAGACACCAGGACATTTATACTTCACATATGTAATGTTTGTTAAAGGACCTTTCACTGGATACCAACAACTTTGACCCTTTGACCTTGACCTTGTAGATTTCCGTACGTGTGAAAAAACTTTAACCTTGGCCATAATTTTTGAACGGTAAGGGATAGGGCTTTCATACTTCATATTTGTAATTCATGTGAGAAGTCCCTTCATTGGTTATGAAGATTCTTGACCTTTGACCTTGACCTTTGAGATTGACCTACTTTAAAAAAGCAAACCTTGACCATAACTTTTAAAAGACTTTGGGCTAGAGCTTTCATTCTTTACATATTTGATCCTTATGACAAGACCTTTCATTTGATAACAATATTTGATTTTGACCTTGACCTTGAAGTTTGACCTACTTTTTAAGAAATTGAACGTTGACCATCACTTCTGAAGGGCTAGGACTTTCATGCTCTACATTAGTATTTAATGTGGAAAGACCTTTTATTTGATTCTAATTACATTGACCTTTTGACCTTGACCTTGGAGATTTTTGTACTGATTAAAAAAACTTTAACATTAGCTTACTTTCAAATTTCACATTTGTTTTCCAGTGAGAATGCCCTACTTTTGGTACCAATCAATTAAATTTGCATTTTAGAAAAGCTTAATCTTTGCTATGTTGCCATACGGGGGCATCAGTGTTTTACAAACACATCTTGTTTTCATACAAATGGCTAGGCCAATACTTCATAATTATTTACAAAATTCTCCATTTGCACTGTCATGCCAAAGAGCAGTGGGAATATTTTACCGAACGACAGGGGATGTATATTCCTACATGGCACCTGATCCCATATCTTATGTTTGAGGGTTCCATGTTTGCTCTGCTCCGAATTCGTCTTTTCTGAAAAGACTTTTACGTTTAATTACTGTTCGTTACCTTCATTTTTATCATACAAAGATAATTATTCAGAAACAGGTATACTTGTACTTGAATATATTGTTGCAATAAAAATCTACCTATTGCACTTAACATATAAAATGAACGGAGACAACCATTTCAATATATAGTAACATGACATGAATGATTTCGCAAAATGGTGTCGTCGTCACAGTTTCTGGTCTCGCTTCGATTTTCAGTGATGCATTTCTGGGTCGATAATAACACATTCGCGATCCAATTTTATCCGAAATAAATAATTTTTATTCCTTTTAACAGTATCTCATGATTTTTGGGTTATTCCCCTTTGGCAAACAATTTTATCGTCTGCCTGGAAATATGCCTTCTCACGGAAAAGAAAGGACATTTCAATATAAAGTAGCATGACATGAATGATTTCGCAAAATGGTGTCGTCGTCACAGTTTCCGGTCTCGCTTCGATTTTCAGTGATGCATTTCTGGGTCGATAATAACACATTTGCGATCCAATTTTATCCGAAATAAATAATTTTTATTCCTTTTAACAGTATTTCATGATTTTTGGGTTATTCCCCTTTGGCAAACAATTTTATCGTCTGCCTGGAAATATGCCTTCTCACGGAAAAGAAATGACATTTCAATATAAAGTAGCATGACATGAATGATTTCGCAAAATGGTGTCGTCGTCACAGTTTCCGGTCTCGCTTCGATTTTCAGTGATGCATTTCTGCGTCGATAATAACACATTCGCGATCCAATTTTATCCGAAATAAATAATTTTTATTCCTTTTAACAGTATCTCATGATTTTTGGGTTATTCCCCTTTGGCAAACAATTTTATCGTCTGCCTGGAAATATGCCTTCTCACGGAAAAGAAATGACACCCGATCAGAAAGAAATCATAATTAATTTATCTTCTGCGGGTAATTCAAGCTATAAAATTCAGAATTTGACTGGAATTAATTGCCGAACAATTCAGAAATTTTTGAAGAGGGTACGAGAGCGAGGGAATGCAGAAAACATGCCGAGAAGTGGGGTGCTAGAAAAACTACTGCGCGGGATGACAGGGTGCTTTTTCGAAGTGTGAAAGGGAATAATAGACAGACTCTGAAGGATCTTACGAGTAGATTTAATGAAAGAACACGATTCCAAGTAACTTCACGAACAGTAAGTCGAAGATTGTTTTAGCATATGGTTACAGACGTCATCCCATTTCCAAAACCATTACGATTTCTCGAGTTAACCGAGCGAAAAGGATTACATTTTGTAGCAGAAAATTACACTGGACTGTTGAGAACCACTGGTCATCAGTTATATTTAGTGACGAGACAAAAATTGTACTTGGAAACAACAGAAAAAATTATGATTGGAGACGATACGACGGGAGAATGTGTCCGAATTGCTTGGGTATAATGGGTGACAGGGAGACAACATGCAAGGCATCAGTGATGTTTTGGGGTTGTATTACGTACTTTTGAGTTGGGACACTTGTACCAGTGGATGGTAATGTGAATATAACTAAATATATTTCCGTTTTAGATGATAATTTATGGCTAGTTATTACGAGACATTTTGCTAACCGGCAATGGATATTTCAAGACGATAAACGCGTCTTGTCATGTTTCGAATCGAGATCTTCAGTGGAAAGCAGAGAATGGTATTATTACCCGTCAGTGGCCAGCACAAGCCCTGACATTAATATAATAGAAAACGTATGGAAAGTTATAAAATACAAGATAAATCAACGTTTAAATAAAATCAAAAACAGTGATGACCTAAAACGCATCGTGTCTGACATTTGGAGTAGCCTCCCGGTTCATTACATTAGAAGTCTTTATTACAGTCTTCCGAGGAGAATAAGCACTTTGCTACGATCCAGAGGACAGATTGCCAAATACTGGGCCTTTAAAGTAAGAAAATTTACTTCTTTTGATTTAAAAACACCTTTAAAAATTTTGCAATTTTTTTATTTACATTTACAACGGCAGCAATTTTGCGAACTCATTCATGTCACACTACTGTATTTTGTCACATTCAGACTCCGATGCCAATATGCATCTTTTTTCCATATCGAGAGAATTTAAAAAGTTTATCATAATGCACTAAATCTCATAACCCAATGAAAATTCGTTAATTATATTTTACAATAATATCATGTCATTTACCTCTCTCATTTCTATAGTAGATGACTACATTTTGCAGTTTATATTCTTTTCTTAAGTCCACCATAACCCATGCCTCCGGCGCTCCATTTACTACAGTATGTGAACAGCTGTTGTAATCTTGTTCGGTGTTTCCGTCAATTACTTTGTCTGCAGATAAATTCTTACTAACAGAACTCAGTGTGGCCTTGCAGCTAGAGCGTTCACAAATGTTATCTGTGTATTAATATGTATACATTTTCATTGAATTAGCATTCTTAACGTTTTATATTAGCAAGTGTAATCTGGTTACCATTAAAAATTTAAAGTGCTATATTAGGCCATTCCAAGTTTTTTCTATGTTTAGCGTCTGCGTGCGCCTTGGTTTTTGACATCCAGTGTCAGAAAAAACGAACCGAATCAGGAGTCCAAAAATTAATTATTCAGGTCAAAATTTGTGATTTCCAGCAATATCTCTAAATAGTTGTATAATATTTCATTATTGGAAGTTTCAGTATTTAAAACCTTGGTTTTGCTGAAAAAAAACTTTCTTTATGCAAAATAGATAAATGAAATCGTATCTTTTGAATTACCTCATTCTTATTTTTATAAAATAAGTGTTTTATTTTTTTTTACTTGTGTGTTTTTTGCGAATAGGTAGCTAGATTTTGGTAATTGGGTGGACGCTAAACAGAGAAAAAAACTTGGAATGGCCTACTTCCGTGAAAAAAGAATTGAAGCGAAACATAATGCAAACTTCATCTGTAACTCATCCAGATACACTCACATATCAAACATAAGCTCAATAGCTACGAGTGTCAGGAAAAAGTGCGGAAAATAAAGTTGATAAAAAAGGCGTAATTCCCTTAAAAAGGTAGGAAGCAAAACGATCACACCTACATCTCAATCTCATCCATCCATCACATATTCTCAATTGAAAGTTTTAAATGAATGAATATATTTTGCTCATTGTTTTACATATTAAGTAAAGTTATCAAGGACGATAGGCACTATATACAAATTCATAATCAGTTTAGATTTTTTCTTTCTCGTGGTAGCAACCCTTTGTAGCAAATATATTTTGAATTTAAAATCCCACCTAGCTCTTGACGAAAATTGAAATCAAATGATTCATAATTTCCTTTCAGCGGTGATCATATTTGAGTGACTTGTGCACTGCTTAAATGTAATGGCCGCCGTATGTCAATAGTTCTCAACACTTAAATAAGCATTAAAATTTTGTGATTGCACGAATCAGATAAAGATAAAAATTGTCCAACACTTTGAATGTTGTAATTTATGCACTTTTTCAGTTAGATAATTTTTTATTATACAATTATACAAATGCATTAATTTGAAATCTATTTATTAATATATATCAATTTTGCAAGTTATAAAAAATGATCAGAGAAGACTTTGAGCAAGTCGCCCTCGTGGAGCAGTGATTAGAGAGTCTGCTCTAGAGTCATGAAGTAAGGAGTTGATCCTTACGTCGGGGGTTGGAATCCTATTTTGGGACGTGGACACTGGTCCTTCGCATGAAACAATATATACCGAGGTCCCGTATCGCAGTAAGTGCTGGAATGAAACTGATCCTTCACTGCTCACCTATGTGTCGAGAACAGTACAACATTTGCAGCTCTCCACCGGCAAGTAGTGGTGTTTCATATGAGAGAAAAATTCTCGAGAGGGATGTAAAACAACAAACAAAACCATCTATGAGCACAATATCTGATTGCAATGAATGAATCTCTTATTAGTATTAGGATAATTTAATTCTAATATCAACAACCTTAAACAACAATAAACACTTTTTAATCGTTATATTCATCTCAGCTTAAGCACATGTTTGAGTTTCATTGTATTTTAAATATTAATTTTTGCAAAAAAAAAAAAAAAAAAAAAAATCAGTCGTATCCTCACAGATATGGGCAAACAACAATGAAAGATCTAAATACATGTGTACGATTCATAGAAAAATAATAAAAGTAAAATTATATTATAAATACCGTAACAATGAATAACTCCAAGTAACAATAAATTCCATATCCCCAAGAATGTAGCCATTTTGATGGGGAATGTAATTTGGGAATCTATTAAACAAAATAATAAATAATCATGTTATAAAAAAAATCATGTGAAAGTTACTTCTAACGGATATTCGCAATTTTAGATTTATAAAATAACGCTTAATTTTAAGCATATATAAATCACGTGACAGGTTAAAGACACTTTAAAGCGGTGTCTCAATGAAGAGGAGATCTTTAATTTTCATATAACATTCGCTACTTTCCTTTCCTTACCAAACATTTTTTTTTTCTCTTGTAAATATCATAAACTTCCTCGATCAAAACTGTGCGTTTTACTTTTTAAATTATGTCTTAAATATGGTGCACAAGGTTTTTATCACGATCGATAAAACAATATAAATTAGCTTGCTTTATTATTAGTCCCTACTTGTGAAACCAAAGGGGACTTTAGGTTTCCTCTGCGTCTGTCCATCCGTCCTTCTAGCTGTCCCAATGTCTGTCTGCGAGTCTGTCCTACTTGATTTTCCGAACTTTTTTTTCTAAACGCTTGCAGACATTGAGCTGAATTTTGGTATGTGAGTGTATCTTGCAGAGTTACAGATCACATTAGAATATCGTTTCGCTTCATTGATTTTTAACAGAATTATGGCATTTTCAATTTTTTAAATAATGTTTTGAGATCGGGTTTGTGTGGCACTCAAATCCTATGGTCGACATGGTAAATATTTAATATATAACTTAATCTGTAAATTCTCTGCAAAATACACTCGCATACCAAAATTCAGCTCAACAAAAAGATTGCCACTTTTCCTGAGTATTAAAAATTAATTAAATTAAAATTTGTGGAAATTCAAGGATGTGTCAATCAAACCCATTCAAAAATTTGAAGTTTCGATAACTTTAAGATGAAATAAGATTTTTAATTTATTTTCGTGTGAAATTCTATTACAATATATAAGTTGTAAAATTAAACCAAAAATATTAACGTCAAATCTGTGTGTATATTCCTTTAAGCTATTAAAAAGAACACCATACAGTTGTTGACTAGGGTAGAAGGAAACCGTCAATTCTCGTACATGTAACTAACAGTCAATGATCATAACGAACAAGAATAATAACAAATAGGAATCATAACAAACAGAAGCTATAAGCTAGAACATGTAGAAGAATAAAATCTGTATTTCATTTCGTAATTACATCTAACACATAATTCAATATATTTAAAATATGTTCTATTCAAATGAAATTTATGTTCAAAAACAGTCTTTTATCATCTTTTTATAGTAAGATAAAAATTATGACAACAAAAATGCACATAAAGATTCAAATTACTTTGCAAAGTCAAGTATTTTACATTTCTGCACTCAAAAAAAAATATTTTTCTGGTGTAAAAAATTCGAAAAGCAATAAAATCATTTGAAAGTAGTGACATTTTTTCTAAATTTAAGGATATCTGTTCCTCAGCCAGGAAGGATAACTCCAAAAATAGATATTTAATTTGAAATGCATCAAAATGAAGCTTAAAAATGAAAATGATTCAAGGTTTTTGAAAGTCTTGGAAAAGGTCTTATAAAAGTTGACATGTGTACATGTACCCCATTAAAGGGAAAAAAAAATGAAATACAGTTTAAGAGAAATAATATTTCCTTGAATCCAGCCTTAGATACCAATGCTTATTAGCATGATATGGAATTAAAAATTATTTGTGGTGTCTTGCAATGATAGCAAAAGCGTTTTACACAATGTATTATAGAATATATGACAGAAATAGACGACAAAAAACACCAAATATGTATAAAAGTCATAACAATATCTCAGAAAGCTGGATAAAAAAAAATCATTTTTAACCTAAAATATATTTTTGATCAATTTTCAGTTGGAAAATATATTGCTGATATTCCAATTCGCTTTTTCTGCAAAAATATTGGAGAATTGACAATTTTCCATATATAGTATGATAAAGTTTCATCTTTAACTTAAAAAGAAATACAGCAGATAAATTTACATAACTGTGGATTCAGAGATACTTTCATTAATTTTTTTGATTTCTTAACTGCTTATTTTATAAAGTTGAGGATCGGATTACCTTAAGCAGAGTAGTTAAAATAATTTTATATATTCAGAAATATTAATTAAAATGTTTAGGTCTCAGATGTAAATTTGAAATATTTCTAAAAAAAAAAGTTTAAAGGACTTTCATATTTGTATATATTCACCAAATATGATGATAGAACTCATGACAGTGACTTTTTTTAACATAATTTATAATTAGGACAAGCAAGGAACATTTCACTTCACAAAATTACTCTGTTTGCAACCGGCATATAAAAATAGGAATCAAAACTAACAATACTAAATACTTTAAAAGAGGAAAATTTGATCTTTTTCATCTATAAAGAACCTTCCGCCAAAAACATAATTCCTTACTAAATGTTTTCGGTATGGAATTTAGTCATAGGGTCTTAATTGAATATAGTGTAATTAGCATTATAGAATCCAAGTTAATTGAAGAATTTAAACATAATGTAGAATATTTTTAAATAGAGACCAAGAAAAAATCTGCTGAAAAGCTATGAAGAAAATCTCTGTAATTGTTTGGATATTTCAGAAAAAAATATAGACCCTACAGAATACGGAAAAATTGTGCCATACCACGTGAATAAATGAAATATAGTTTTTGGATAACAAATGCAAATACCATTAAAAGGTTTTCTTTAGTTATACTCAGGTAGAAAAATCTCATCTTTGAGGCTGCACCGCCTGGACATTCCATTACTTACAAAAACTTCAACAATTCATTAAGTTATTATGTATAGTTTATCAAATTGGTAGAAAATTTTATGCTTATAAAATGTTTAAAAATGTATCGATTTTATTTTTGTCACTTGTTCACGAACTGTCTGATAACCCCTTATATATTTATTCTAAATTCAATTAAAATACCAATTAAAGAACAAGGTTCACTTTTTGCCTTATTTGGCCCTGTGAATTTCAGAGCAATTGAAACTACATAGTTTTTGTTAAAAATGCATTGAATATCACTTAGATCTTTTGTGATTGCGTATCTATCAAAAATGACGTAATTTTCTGGCTAGTCAATGCATTATGAAGTCACAAAATGCGTCAATTTCCTCGTATTCTGAAAAAGTCTTCAAAATCGGCTAATTTTAATGATTTTTTTCGATATTTAATATAGAGCGCAACCTCTGATCTAAAATATGTAACTAGAAAATGATAAAATTGTTTCTGAGGATTAAAAGACATGTTTTATTTTTTAGATCAGAGAGTGCGCTTATATTATTTTTCTCCACTGAATGTACTCAATTGTACCTGTTTACCTAAAATTTCAAGAACATTGCAATTACATAAAGCCAGACCAGGACGTTAAGGAGAAAATTTTTGATAGGATATGAAACCACGAAGTCTCTATTTTATTTTGATGCTTCAAATGAAAAATCAAGTGTTAATCAATCAATTGGTATATCTACAGGGCCATTTTATGCATAAAGTGAACCAACTTCTTTGGAGAAATGCAAAATTGAAAAAAACAAGAGGCCCAAGGACCTTGAACGCTCTTCTGATAAATTGTACAATCTATCACTTATATTAGAAGCCTCCAACTCTATTAGTATCATAAGACCCAAAATGCATCAACTTACGAAGTTTGATAATATTTAGCCAGTTAAGACTGAAGATATTATAATATAATTATAAAATACCATAAGTTGGTCACAGTGACCTACCTTTTGATTGAAATTTTCTGAGGACTCAAGATGCATTAATTGACAAAGACTGATGATTCTTATTAAATAAGTACCTGAGATATTCAAGAGTAGGTCACCATGACCTACTTTTTGGTCAACATTCTATGAAAACCCAAGATGCATCATCTGACAAAGTTTGACGATTCTAAGCCAATTAGTACCAGAGATAATTAAATATAGCCATCAAATGTCAAAAGTAGGTCACGGTGACCTACTATTTGGTCGACGATATCCAAAAACCCAAGATGCCTTAACTGACAAAATTTGCTGATTCTAAGCCAATAAGTACCTGAGATATGCAGAAGTAGGTCACCGTGACCTACTTCTTGTTGGACATTCAATGAAACCGTAAGATGCCTCAACTGATAAAGTTTGACGATTCTTAGCCAATAAGTGCCCGAGATACTTAAAAATAGCCATAAAATGTCAAAAGTAGGTCACTGTGACCTACTTTTTGGTCGACAATCTCTGAAAACCCAAGATGCATCAACTGACAAAGTATGATGATTTTAGGTCAATAAGTACCAGAGATAGTTAATTATAGCCACACAATGTGAAAAATAGGTCACCATGACCTACTTTTTGGTCGTCACTCTCCGAAAACCCAAGATGCATCAACTCACAAAGTTTGATGATTCTAAGTCAATAAGTGCTGGAGATACTAAAATAAAGCCATAAAATGTCAAAAGTAGGTCACGGTGTCCTACTTTTTGGTCGTCACTTTCCGAAAACCAAATATGCATATACTCACAAAGTTTGATGATTCTAAGCCAATAAATACCTAAGATACTTAAATATATCCATAAAATGTCGAAAGCAGGTCATCGTGACCTACATTTTGGTCGACATTTTTCAAAGACCCAAGATGCATCTACTGACCAAGTTTAATTGTCGTAGGTTTGAAGGTAATCAAAATATGCATTTTAAACAATTTGAAAACAAATGTCGGCAAAATTCAAAAAGTAGGTCACAGTGACCTACTTTTTCATAAATATGTTTTAAGGTCCCTAGATGCATCAAAGTACAAGATTTGATGATTCTAAAGCTCCCAGTGTCTGAAAAATGGGATTTAATTTTTTTAAAAGGAGAAGTCATGAAGTTCAAAAAGTAGGTCACGGTGACCTACTTTTAAGTTGACATTGTTGGAGGACCCAAGATGCATCAACTAACAAAGTTTGATGATCATAGGTCTTAAAGTGTGCAAAATATGCCTTCAAATCAATTTGAAAACAAATGCCCACACTGTGACCTACTTTTGAGTTAACATGATGTGAAGTCATAAGATCAATTAACTTACAAGAATTGATGATCCTTGTCCTTATAGTAAGCAAAATATACACATTTTTATTAATTGTAAATTTAGGTC